GAAAACAATTTGGCTGACCCTCAACAAGTCAAACATAGAATTACTGTATGAGCCAATCATTCTGCTCAGGTATACTTCCCTAAGAACTGAAAACAGCTAGTTAAACAAATACTTGTACATAAATGTTCATAGCAGCACTATTCATAATAGCCAGAAGGTGAAAACAACCTATATGTCCATCTGTTGATGAACGGACAAATAAAAACAGGTGGCACATCCATACAATGGAGTATTATTTGGTCATAAAAGGAGCAAAGTACTGACACATGCTATCACATGGACGAGATTTGGAAACATTATGCCAAGTGAAGGAAGCCAGATACAAAAGGCCACATATTGTATGATTCTAACTGTCTGAAATGTCAAGAATAGGTAAATGCACACAGAGAGAGAAAGGAGATTGGTGGTTGCCAGGGCCTCCAGGGGAGGCAGGAGTAGAGAGTGACTAGCAGTGTGTATGGGGTTACTTTGTGGGGTGGTGATGAAAATGTTCTGGAGTTAGACATTGGAGAGGGTAGTACAACCTTGTGAAAATACTAAAAATCGCTGAATTGTATACTCTAGGTGGGTGAACTTTGTGGTATGTGAATTATATCTCAATATAGCTGTTATTTTAAAAAGTAAGGCTGAACTGCATTTACGTGAACCCTAGCAAAAATGACTGCTGCGCACTGTCCTGGTAAGCTCTTCACGACTGTACTGGGTAAACTGCTGAGTGTCACAACTTAAGAAAAAAATTAAAAAACAAAACAAAACAAAACAAAAAACCCTGACAACCCAGTAGGCATTCTGAGGAGGGTCCCGAGGAATTGGAGAGCAAAGCCCTGTGGAGAAAAGTTAGGGGACTGTTGGGTTATTCTCACGGAGCAAAAGCCTTTTGGAGAATATCCTGGAGCAGAGACTGTGAGCCTTGTGCACTGTGCAACAGTCCAGGCCCCGGCAGGAATCAGATTTCCTGCTCACAGGTGTTCACCGCAGAGAGCTGACTGAAGGGATTACTTACAGAGGTGCGAGCAGAGCCAAGGGAATCGGCAAGGGATGGTGACTCATCCAGGGACTCACAACACTCAGAACCCTTCTGGGGAAGGAGGGAGAGGGAATGATGACACAAGACCAGAGAGAGCATGAGGATTTGGAGGAGAAGCTACTGGACAGGAGGTGCCATCTTCTAATGTAGTTACTGCCAGGACTGCAGTGAAGCAGAGAGAGAGATAAGTACCCCCACCTCTTTCTTCTACCCTGCAGTCTCCGGATGGAGCCACCCATGGACTAGATCAAAAGGGAAGCCAGAGAGCAAAGGAGTCCAGGCCATACAGTCCATAGAATCCAATCTCTCAGAGCACAGAGAAGGGCAGAGAAGATACTGAGACTGTGTGTGTGTGTGTGTGTGTGTGTACACAGGTGCACATGCATATGTGTTTGGCTGGGAGGGCAAATGGACAATAGCTAACACAGTGCTTACCTGTTATACCCACAGCTCCCTTCTTAGACAAGGTGAGGTAACAAAAACCCACGTGGGCTCCATGCTTTATACCTGGGATCCCAACGTGCTGGCCACAGCCAAAGTGAAAAAAACCACACCTGTGACTAACATTTGTTGTGTGCTTACCATGTGCAAAGCATTTTACATTACTCACCTCATTTAACCTGCATATCATAATGACCTAGAAATAACATTCTTTTTATGATTCCCATTTTATAGATGGAGAAACGGTGGCATGGGGAGACTAAGTAATTTACCTAATGTTGACTAGTTAGTAAGTAGATAAGGGATGATTTAAACTCAGGGAGGGGCCTGGTCAGGCGTGGCTCAGCGGCTGAGCATCGACCTAGGATTCAGGAGATTGAGGTTCGATTCCTGGTTAGGGCACATGCCCAGGTTGTGGGTTCAATCTCCAGTAGGGGGCGTGCAGGAGGCAGCCAGTCAATGACTCTCATCATTGATGTTTCTATCTCTCTCTCTCCCTCTCCCTTCCTCTCTCTGAAATCAATAAAGACATATTTAATAAATAAATAAATATATCCAGGGAGGGAGTCTGGCTCTAGAATTGTTCTCTTAACCACTACACTCACTGGAATAGGGATTCAGCAGGACTCTAGGCTGGCCAGCAACCTTGGCCTAATGGTAGAGCTGTGCCTTACAGGGGTGCTTGCTACTACTATATGGTACCTGGCTACCACAATCAGACCTGAATGCAGGAGACAGAGCAAGTGACTGGACCATGGGGCTCAAAGAGCTGAGAGAAAAGGAGGGTAGTTAATATGGCAGGAGAAGTGATGAGCTATGGGAAATAGTGGACTTTTGCTGTAGAAACAGTAGACAGGACTAGAGCTGTCCCTAGGTTGACAGAACAGATGNGTGTGTACACAGGTGCACATGCATATGTGTTTGGCTGGGAGGGCAAATGGACAATAGCTAACACAGTGCTTACCTGTTATACCCACAGCTCCCTTCTTAGACAAGGTGAGGTAACAAAAACCCACGTGGGCTCCATGCTTTATACCTGGGATCCCAACGTGCTGGCCACAGCCAAAGTGAAAAAAACCACACCTGTGACTAACATTTGTTGTGTGCTTACCATGTGCAAAGCATTTTACATTACTCACCTCATTTAACCTGCATATCATAATGACCTAGAAATAACATTCTTTTTATGATTCCCATTTTATAGATGGAGAAACGGTGGCATGGGGAGACTAAGTAATTTACCTAATGTTGACTAGTTAGTAAGTAGATAAGGGATGATTTAAACTCAGGGAGGGGCCTGGTCAGGCGTGGCTCAGCGGCTGAGCATCGACCTAGGATTCAGGAGATTGAGGTTCGATTCCTGGTTAGGGCACATGCCCAGGTTGTGGGTTCAATCTCCAGTAGGGGGCGTGCAGGAGGCAGCCAGTCAATGACTCTCATCATTGATGTTTCTATCTCTCTCTCTCCCTCTCCCTTCCTCTCTCTGAAATCAATAAAGACATATTTAATAAATAAATAAATATATCCAGGGAGGGAGTCTGGCTCTAGAATTGTTCTCTTAACCACTACACTCACTGGAATAGGGATTCAGCAGGACTCTAGGCTGGCCAGCAACCTTGGCCTAATGGTAGAGCTGTGCCTTACAGGGGTGCTTGCTACTACTATATGGTACCTGGCTACCACAATCAGACCTGAATGCAGGAGACAGAGCAAGTGACTGGACCATGGGGCTCAAAGAGCTGAGAGAAAAGGAGGGTAGTTAATATGGCAGGAGAAGTGATGAGCTATGGGAAATAGTGGACTTTTGCTGTAGAAACAGTAGACAGGACTAGAGCTGTCCCTAGGTTGACAGAACAGATGTCGGCCTTCTCGAACTGTAATGTATCCTGAGCAAGGCTGTAGTCTTGTGAGGCCAGCCCCTGATGCTTTTTCCTGTTCTTTCTTAGTTTCCTTTGGGTCTTTACAATAATTCCCCACCAAATGAGGAAATCTGAACACAGTATACTAATACAGTCCTTGCATGCTGATACAATCCTCACATAGTAATACAGCCCTCACATACTAATACAGTCCTCACATACTCATACAGTCCTCACATACTAATACAGTCCTTACATACTACTACAGTCCTTACATACTACCTCACATACTACTACAGTCCTCACATACTAATACAGCCCTCACATACTAATACAGTCCTTACACACTACTACAGTCCTTACATACCACCTTACATACTAATACGGTCCTCACATACTAATAGAGTCCTCACATACTAATACAGTCCAACACAGATGGATTAATTATTTCAATATGTGAGGGTCTCTTGGGCAAAGAAGAGTCACCAGTCGTTTTGTTTTCTCTCTCTCTATTTTCCTCTGAAAGAGAGGAAATTGACACAAGGTAGTCTAAAAAATGTAGGTCAGTTACATGGGAGCTGTACCATGATAGACACTTCCAAGGGGTGGTATGAAAACACCTATTCCAGAGAACTTTAAAAATAGTCTTCTCATCTATCCAGGGGTGGTTTCCATGAGATACCGCCTGAAGGCACAATGGCTCCCAGCTGCGGTTCCATAGACCTGTCAGGTCCCTTAGGAAGTTTTCACTGTTGTCTACAGAGTGAGGGAGGGAAATAAAGACATTGGTCTCTCTCTCTCTCTCCCCTACTTCTCTCTGTCTCTCTCTCTCATTCTCTCTGTCTCTCTCTCTCTCTCTCTCTGAGCATATTAGATTGCTTGCTGTCATTTCTTAAGACAGGCTATTCCTTTTGTTGGTATTAAAGTATCCCTCCTTTACAAAATTATGGTAATGATAGGTTATAGTAGATAGCAGTGTTTTTTTCTTTTTTAAAATAGCCTTACTTGCCAAAATAAAAAGCTGGCAAATCTTTCTCAGTCTCATTTTTTTTTTTAATGTCATTTGAGAGAACTAAATATCTGAAAATCGTCAGCCCAGAGGACCTCTTAAGGTCCCTGCTAGCTGTTAGATTGTAGGCTTTAAAGTCTTGAGATAACAGAAAATCAAAAGGACTAGGAAGGCAGGATGATTTTTTTATTTAACCTACCAAAGTAACAATTTAATGGAGTCTAACCATCTTGGACATAAAACGTAATAGTGGAGATGCCCATGAGTTAAAATTATGCAGTTTCTAAGTGGAAAAGACAGTCTAAATGTCAAATTCAAAAACATGGCCTAAAGAACGCCACGCCAAAGGTCACAGTTAGAAGGCAATGTTCAGCTCTGGAGACAGTTACAACTCAGAGCATGTGAGATTCCACGGTGCGCAGCCATCCTGAAAAGAGAACTAAAACCCTCTGAAGCAAGAATGTATCAAAAGAGAACTCTAAACAGGCCCAAAGGAAGTGTTTAAATGAAAAAACAAAAACAAAAAACACACACAAAAAACAAAACCACCTTAGATCTTTTAGTTAGAAGAAAGCCCATAATTATTCCAAATACAAATTAATATATAACTAGCACTTTCTGTTTTGTGAGCATCATACTACTATTTACATAGATTTCAACATACCCAAGGCCTCTGTCAGGCCCCAAACCTTCTGTCCATAGATGTCGGTCTTGTTCCAAGCAAATGTGTAGACGAGATTAACTGCGGCAGGAAACCACTTCTGGGTGAGTCGTCCCTCCACGGCTACTGTGAGGTGTACTTTAACCATCCCCACCGGAATGGTTGAATGTGTCAGAAGGATCCGTAGCAGCGTTTTATACCCGGGGGTGCGGCTGCTCAGGTAACTCAGCCTCACGAAGCTGGAAGGAATGGGGATCTCCTCCTGTACAACCTGAAAGAAGAAAGCCCGATGGCTCTTATCAATGCTTACAGGTAGACCACAATACCACATGCTTTGTTGGCTTAGAAACAGGCAAAGGAGAGAGCTTAAAGGGAGTTAGGGATGTCAAGCCACTTGTTTTGGAATCTGTGTGAGGCTGTGTGACCACAGGTTTCGAATTCTGCACTGAATCTGTATAGGGACAAGACAGCCAGCCAACCCTGAGGACTGTCCTATTTCCCTCTGCCAGGAATGACTGTGAAAAGCACAGTTTCAGCTTTTCAACAGTGTTCCAAAAATTGCTTAGTAGGAGTAGGAGATCATACCACTGAATGTCAAGCAATTCAGTGACATGGGCTCCATTAAGTGGTCTTTTTCTTATATACACCCATATACAAAATCTTGTTCGCTGTGTTAAGTCATATATCACAAAACCATTGCTGTGATCGTTATTCAGGCTACATTCTCTAAGAGGAAGGTCTCCAGAAGCAGGCCCAGCAAGCGATATTTTATGACAGAGATTATGGATTCCCTAGAATTAATCTTTACTGATGCCATCAAACTCGTCTTCTTGGGAGCTTTGGAATGACCCCGAGGCCAAATTTTTAATCAAATTTTGCTTACATATTTCTCTGTGCCTGCATGTACCAATAGCTGGGAAGTAGTTTTTCCAAGTTGGCACCTGTGACTGAAAAGCAAATAACTCCCAATAGCTCTTCTGAAAATTTCATACTAAACGTTGGTCCCAGGGTGAAAATACCGCTTGGCTTCTTTAATGAATTGCTATGACTTACTTGTTTATTAGCACAGATGGAGTTGAACAACCAAGAGTGGTCACTAAAACTAGATTTTGTGTTTTGTGACTCTCAGCTTTCAAAATACAGCCCGTCCCATTCAAGACATTTAAGGTGACGTGCAGTGAGGTTATTTCTGTGCCCACATTCATGTTAAGCTCAGAAACCTGTCCATTCTTCTTTCCAAACTAGTGCACATAGTAGAACCAATTGGTAAACACATGATATCACACACTGTCCAGCATTTCTGGTCTTTCTTTTCTTTGAGGGCGCATATCCCTTTTGTCTAGTCATTGTCCAGTGTTTTTTTGCTCTACATTAACTATTTGATACCAAAGCAGCCCGTTGGCTCTATCTTCTTAAGTAGTGGCAGACGCATAACAGAAAAAAATAGCCTGATACCACCTTAGTATTTCATTTCCCCAAGGAAACATGCAATCCTAGATCAGTTTGAAAACTTTTGTGCTGAAAAAGGAGACTCTCTCATCGTTGATGTTTCTCCCTCTCTCTCCCTCTCCTTTCCTCTCTCTGAAATCAATAAAGATATATTAAAAAAAAAAATGAATGCTCAATAAAGAAAAATTTTCAGAAGTCCTAAAATATCAAGGTTCATAAACATGTTCCTCTGATTATAAAGCTTGAACACTCAAAAGCAAAGCTTTAAACATCAAAACCCACAGCCTTGAAAACTACTCTCACTAAACACAGCCAAGCAAGAGGAATTGTCAAGACTTCTAAGAACAATGACAATGGATGTAAACAACAATGAAAGCAAACTAGATTTTTAAAAGAGCTTTCATTTTAGAAGCGCAAGTGGCCCCACCTTATTGATTATACGGTCACAGCTGAGCAAGCTGGCTTTGTTCCTTAGAGCACCGTGCTCATTAGGTCAAGGTTTGGGGTTTAATTCTCACGACAGCTAGTTCATCTTGCCTTGTTCCATGGCTATGGAGAGCACCCTACAGGCCCGGCCAATCACTTAGCAAGTGTGTGCCAGAGAGATTACATTTGAAGGCTTCTTTTGAAGAACGAAGGGCAGCACATTATAGTACTGGCAGGAGTGCCAGGAAAAGAACTCTCGCCATTATACATTGCTGAGCACCCCATGCTGCTACGATTTTATACATTCAAAGGCCAATCTACTCACCTGCAGCTCAGGAACAACAGTTCCCCTCTCTGGACAGGACCCTCCAAATGACGTGAGTGGTGAAGGAAGCACAATAGGGTTCGGGCTGATAAAGTTGGAGATATCGCAGGATGGTGGGTCTGATACAACTCTCCGCATAGTTACTTTCTCCACCACAATAAACTGATTCCAAGGCAACCAGAGTGTCCTCTTCTCAGACAGAAAAGGTGAGCGATCAAAGATTAAGATGACAGAGATACCACCGACGGCGACGAGGTCAAAGCTGAGAAGGAAAATTATAGGGCAGTTTTAACCAAATGAACCACCAAAATAAAGTTAAAAAATAGGTAAGTTTAGTGCAGTTTCCTTCTTTTGGGACTCAATACATCCATTCATATTCTCTATTTTATAAATTCCCTCTAACTCAGTATTCATTCCATGGATGACTTCTTTTCACTGTCTAGTAGACTTCTGAGAAAAAATTTCCTGTCACCAGTTGATACCCACCCTGAATTTGTACGCCAATTTAATACTATCTTAAACAAAACTTCTACGTGCATTTCTGCAAAGTCAAACCTGACATCACTGCTACCCTTTGTGCTACAGATAACTGAAAGATGACCATTTCACATTCAGCAGCATCTTTAATCTAATGCATTATTCATCCTCAAAAAAAAAAATTCAAGAAAAGTAAGGAGCCAAAAGGTTAAATATCTTGTTCAGTATCACAAACACAGTGTCAGAAACATGATGGTGTCTTTGAGATGGCATTTGGGGAAAGATGCCAGCAGAGGGAAATTGTTCAGTGAAATCTGCTTGAACAATACCCATGCCTGAACCCCCCACATCTGGCTATCCCCTTTGGCTCCTGATTCTACTTGAACTCTAGATTCAGGACTTCTGGTTCCCACTAGAAAGCCTCTTGGTCTTCTTTTGCAGGACAGCCTGTAATGGACCCTGTCCATCTTCACTGACAACTCCTTCTGTATCTCTGAGAAAGCAAGACCACCTTTCCTGCAAGCACATCTCTCACATGCCTCTTGCACTGAAGCATAACAGATTCAGGTTTCAGTTTATTCTGCCCTGGATGGTTCTACCTTAATTTTCTTTAAAATATAATGATAATGTACTTGAAAGCATTCAAAAAGTATAAAATACTACATAAAAGTAAGATAATGATAAATTATCATTGTATCTTAGAAATGGATAAAGGGCAATCTGGTGCTCCTTAATATTCAAAGCAACTTGAATCCACATGAGATGTAAGCAATTCCCTGTATTCAAAAAGATCTTTCTGTGAAAACACTTTTTCAATGATAAGATGCCCTGATAGGCAATCAGACTTAATTATGGATAGCTCGCCACTCCCTTCCTGTGCCATTTATTGTATTTATCATAGTATTAAGAATCGTGTCTCGTTGCAGAAATCTTCCAGATTTAAAGATAAATGGACAGTAACAGAGGACGGCTAATACCGTACAGTTTATTGTTGCTTTTTCAGTCAAGTGGCTGTAATATTCAGGCAGTTTTCAAAGAGAGGATCTGAAGAACTGCATTAGCTATAGAAAATAACCTAGGTTTGAACTAAAAAAAGAAAACCCAAACCGCTTCCGGTTTAAGACAGAGAGGCTGAATTCCTGATAACACAGGAGCAGTTTAAGGCAAGTAGAGTGGGGAAGATCCAACAGGACTAGTCAAGAGACCTTTCCTCTAGTTCCCAGTCTACATTCATTTTACTCTGTGCCCTTGGGCAAGTTTGTTTGCTTCACCCAAACCTTAGCTCTTGACTCCTTAAAATTGAAGTGCTTATTTATTTAAAAACAAACACAAACAACAAAAACCCAAAATAAACTATTCAAACAAAAACATATGTACCAGGGAATTTTATCTTCTATTTCTAAGAGGATTAGGCAGACAGGGGAGGCTTCTTGTTTTGCAGAAAGAATGTGGTTTTGGTTTCATACGCACTTGGGTTCAAATCTCAGCTCTGCCATGTTAACTTTGGGCTAGTTATTTAACATCCACGAGTGTTAGTTTCCTCATTAGTAAAATGGGCTAATACGACCTATCACTCAGCTACTATTGTAAATAAGTAAATGACATAAAGACTTAAGAGTGAAGCCCTGGCTGGTGGGGCTCGGTTGGGCATCAGTCACTGAAAGTTTGTGGGTTCGATTCCCGGTCAGGGCACATGCCTGGGTTTCGGGCTTGATTCCCAGCTGGGGGCATGCAGGAGGCAGCTGATCGCATTGATGTTTCTCTCTCTCCCTCCCCTTCTCCCTTCTTCTCTCTCTCAAAATCGATAAAAAAAATCTCATACAAAAGACTTAAGAGTCAAGCATATATAGGGACTTAACAAATGTTAACTTTCCTCTCAAATCAGACGTACTGATCTATTAAATTTACGGATGTTTTCTCTTGTAGTTCAAATGAACTCTAGGCCAGATTTGATTACCTCCACAAGCAGATGCTGATTTTTAAGCTTTCCTGGGAACTTCCCCTAGGCTTCCTGTGATGGCTAGTTTTCTGTGCCAACTTGACTGGGCAACAGTAGCCAGTTATTCAATGAAACACTAACCTAGGTGTTGCTGCAGAGGTATTTTGTAGATGTGGTTAATATCTACAATTAGCTACCTTTTAGGAAAGATTACCCTTGATAATGTGGGAGGGCCTTATTCAATCAGTTAAAACTGAAGTTTCTCCAAAGAGGAGGGAGTTCTGCCTCAGGACTGCATAGATAGCATCAATTCTTTTCAATGAGATGCCAGTCGGCCAACTTCTCCTGGTTTTTGGATGTGCCAATCCTCACAATCACATAAGCCAATTCCTTGAGATTGTCCTCTCTCTCCTCTCCCTCTCTCTTACCAGTTTTGTTTCTCTGGAGAACGCTGACTGATTTCTCATGGCGTGGAGCTGGAAGTTGGATCTGTGGCCAAACCCCCATCTGAACCATTCCAATGCCAAATAAAATGCTCTCTGAATAATCAGTTCTTTGGGATTTCCCCCATCACAAATGATCTTTATTGGAATGGATCATTAAGAAGATGCTATAAAGTCATATGAGAGAGTATAAAAGACCCCAGGGAGAAGACCTATTAGTTTGGACATAATAGGTCAGACCAGTCCTATGGGTAGATGGGAGACTACTGAAGCCCGCGCAAATGCTCACCTCTGCCTTGTGGTATCCATAAGTGAACAAACCCTTCCTTGAGGAGAAGCAGAGGGAACCCTCTCTTCGTCTTATAAAGTCTTCCCAACAAAGTTCTTGAGACCTTTAATGCTTCTCAAGAATCGCCTATTTGGCTTATTGCCGGCTAAAATATTTATAAAGAGTTTTCTTTCAACACTTTAACTGAGCACCTGCTCTCTAAGTTGAAGGTGGTAACTCATAGAAGACAAGAACCAGATTACTTGGGCTCAACTTTTTGGCTCTCTCTTTATTTGCTGTGTTAATTTGAATAAGTCTTCTCACCTGCCAAATGGGAAGGATGGTAATAATGATTCCTAGCTCATAAAGTTGCGAGGATGAAACAGAATGACATTCATGTAAATGCCTGGCAAAAGTAGATACTCATACATATTTGCTTTTCCTTTAGAATTGCCTTTCCCTCCCCATTTTCTGATACTTTGGCCCTTCCCAATCTATTCTTACTTTTAGAGGGCCATATATCTACTCCCATCCTTCCCTCTGCTTTTTATCCATCACTTTGGTTCCATGACCTAGACTTTCTCTGGTTCTCTAGGGAAAGTTGTCAATTAATTTGTGCAAATGGATGCTAATGGGGGTAATTATTTCCATATCCCACATAACATATTGGCATTTAACAGGGACTTTGAGACAGTCAATAGTGTAACCCAAAGAAGCGATCCTTCTGATGGGAGCTACAGGCACAGTGGCAGACCAGTGGGATTGAGTATTAGAGACAGGGGGTCTTTCGTATCTGATAGCACCTTGCATATCACACTCTGACCTAATAGGTATCTAAATGCTAATCTCAGTCTTTTTTGACCTAATAGGTATCTAAATGCTAATCTCAGTCTTTCTATAATCTGTTTGCCCTCAAGTCTAGCTTCCTTATGATAGGCTACTTCTGAAATGTACTTACTCGATCTGAGGTAGCAACAAGCAGAGACATATAAATGGAAACTCTCATCACACTGTCACTTTATGTCCAAGAGATGACAACGGGACAGTCTGGTTGGCATTTGGGGAACATATTCTGAATGCTGACACCCTTTCTGGAGCCTGAGGGAAGAGTTATTGCCAGAGGGGACTCTGGCTGTCATCTACAGAAACCCAGTTCTCACAGTGAGCTCAGGGAAGAGGGTCTTGGCATTCTACTTAAAACTAAAAACAGAAAAAAGGTCCCTCTTTAATGTTTCCTATAAACTGGAAATGAATTTTTAGACTTTTCAAACACTGAGTTTCTTTTACGTTCTCTTGTGAATATCAAATAATTCACTGAAAACTTTGTACACAAGCTAAAAAAACTGAGGACCCATCAGTTCTCCATGAGAAGGCAAACGTCCCTGAGGATATAGTCTTTTTAAAGAAATAATCCATTTCCCACTTTCTGGAACAAGGTACAACATGCTGGCAAGGCAGAGGCCACTTTTGTGTACCAGTTACTGGTGAGCGAACTACTGAAATTCCAATCTAATTGGGAGAAAGGTCTATTTGAGTTACTAATAAGCTGATTATGGAATATTTGAAAGGAAGTGTAGTTTGTATTGCTCACATATACATGTATAAGCAATATAATGCGTGTGTGTATAGTGTGTGTGTGTATATATTGATGTCCCCAAAATGTATACACACGTTGAATTATAAAGGCAGTGTTTATTAAAATACATTTCATTTTCAAAATGTAATAGAATCTACAGACAAAGTGTGTACAATTTTTTAGAACACCCTGTATATATATTTTTTCAGATTACCTGCATCTAGAGTAGCTCTGCTGAGTTTGTTATAATGAATAGATGGCTAGTTAATAAGTAATATAATTTCTATAAAAAAATCCATGATTTACTAAAGTCTTAAAAACAGTTTGTTTTCTTGTGTAGGTTAAAACTCTTCCTTATGTTCTTTAGCTACTTTTTATAAGCATTTTCTTGACAAGCAGTTGAAAAAATAAATTCAGCATAGCCCAAGTTGAACAATTAACAATTCTGAAGTGGTTTGGAATTGATTGTAGGTTCTTGAAATGAGATGGTTTCTCACACTGTGATAAAGCTCCAGGCCAACTGGTCTCTTTATGTGAGTATTGAAGCAGCTTGTTATGAGTATGTCATTTTAAGGGTAGCTACCTGGAGACTAGGGCACCTCAAAGCCATTATTACAACGTTCCTGAGAGTCATAAATAGATACTTTTAAGCTGGACACATGGGCCTACTGACTCAAATATTCTGAACAATGTCTGTCTAAATGACAGCAGCAAAAATGTTTTTGTGAGCAAATTCATTTCCAGGAGGAAAAGATTTTCCCTAGTGGTCGTGCATCGTGCTTCCCAGGTCTCAGAGAACCTTGAGAAGCCCTTAGAGAGCAGCCTGTGGTTGGTGTTTAAGGTTAAATCACTATGGTTCTATAGACAACAAGGGCAATTAGTTAGGTTGACAGTGCTTGTCAACCGGTTACAGCCACTAGTGAAACAGGTGGTCTAGGAAGGATGCACTTTCAAAAAATGTCTTAATGTTGTTGAATTCTATACTTTTGGAGGAAACATTTTGGACATGTGCATTTCTAAAGTAGTTTGAAGCTGTCATGGAAGAACAGCCTGAGTGGTCCATGGCTCCTCTTTACTCCCCGAATCGTCTCACTGAATGTTGGCTTTATTCATGGAGTGAGATGAAGGCTAGAAAACTTTCCTTATGGTTAAGGTTTCAAGAAGACTTCAGAGTGTGAGTATAGGGTTAGAAGAGAAATTTGGTTTGACTTAGGTGGGAAATCTCGGAAATAAATATCACTAATTACTTTTTGAGATACCCCTAGAAGAAAGACGGGCTTACAAGCATTATATCCCCCAATGTCTGGTGTTGCTCATGTCTAGAAGTCAGTATTTGGCCCCCACAATGATCAGAAGCAATATTGACCTACCTTCCATCTTGCCGGCTGATGGTAAACCCATAATCACTGTGGTGCAAGAAACTGACATTCACCCCTACTAGCGGGGTCCCATCTACTGCCACCACTTGGCCTCGAATCACACAAGCACGCCTGCAACACAAGATCAAAGACAAATATAAAAGCATGTTGAAACTAGAGTCTAGAATCCAAGTTGGAAAACACAGTCAAGTATAACAAAGAAAACAATTTCACCAACCAGTAGTAACTACTAATGACATGTAGGGGAGGGTGAGTGTATCTTTTTTACCCATCAAAATTGAGATTATACTCGGTATAGTTCTGTATACAGATATTTTTAAGGTAACATTATATTATTAACACTGTCTAATGTAATTAGAAATTACTTAATACAGCTTTTGGTTATTATTTAAAATAGTATTCATTAACTTGTTTAAGCCATTCCTTATTTTAGGAGGTTTCATTGTTTCTTGATTTTTTCTGCATTGAATTTATTATTTCCTTGGGAGACAGTCTTAGTTGTGGGAGGATATTTTTCTGTTATTAAAATTAATTATATTACTTAATACATAAATACATTGTACATATGACTAAAATCCCTGCTGACCACCCCCTTCTCAGTTCCTGCTCCTCTCCCCAGAAGTAATCAGCAGTATCATTTTGTTACGTGCATTTTCTATGCATTTACATACATAGGTGAGAACATTTTTAAGGTTCTTGGCACATATTGCCAAATTGCTTTACTGGAATAACATTTTTCTGTAATAACTAAGCAGACTTAGTTGAGTGAATTTTAAGAGTTAAAGTCTACAAAAGAGACATGGTCCCTGACTTTAGTACCCTATTTCTCTTGCCTAATTGACATAAAATATTTCAGGAGGTTTTTCCTTTAAACAAATGAGTTTCATCCTTACTAAAGAATGGGATTCCATTAAACTAGGTCTTAAACCAGGACTGTCTCCCAGGGACACAGTCCACTAGACCATGTATACTTTCAGCTCTAGCCTGGCCAGAAAGTTGTAACCAATTTCAGGAGCTTGGCAGTTAGGAGGGCCCAGAGGCAAATCCCAACAAAGATTTTTCACTGCTCCACTGTTATTGGGGGATGATGGGATGGGGGGAGTTTTTCACTGGAGTCCAGTCCTAGTCTTGGCAGCCCTGAGCTCTAGAATGTTCATTTTTATAGCTGGAGCTGGTAGGGTTGAGGAAGATTGGGCAAGGTCAATGGTTTTTCCTAGGGCATCAGTGTCAGGTTTTTTACCAAGTGGGATTCAGGGTATCCAGGGAAGCTACATCTTGGATTAAAAGGGGCTGTGCTGTCCTGGCCAGTGTGGCTCAGTTGGTTGGAACTTTGTTCCATATACCAGGAGGTGGCGGGCTTGATTCTCAGTCAGGGATTGTGCAGGAGGCAACCAATCGATCTTTCTCTCTCACACTGATGTTTCTCTCTCTCTCTTTCTCCCTCTCCTTCTAAGATCAATAAAAAACATGGGGGGGGGGCATGATATTTGGGCAAACACAGCTTTCCAAAGTAACCATAATTTCACCCTGGCATAAGACATTATTGGAACAGAATCAGCAATTCAGGGTCATGCATCTAAAGACTCATGGGACTAATGGCCACAAAGGTCATCTGAGTGAGAGGGGAAAAAGCTCTGAAAAAGCAAAAGACAGTTACCAGCCAGACCTTGTTTCACGTGCTATAGCTAATAAGCCTCACTACCAAATTATATTGCAATCAGAGGAATTGGATATGTTATACTAATATGATTTATCCTTCATTACCTAAGGTCTCCCCACAACACAAACTACAAACCCTTAAGTATAACACAAGGTAAGCTAGTATAATTGTTGCTATTAGTGTTTTTGTATATTGAGCTCGCACCAACATTCCTAGTTCTGATGTAGATGAGTGGCTTAATGAATTCTTTACATCATGGTTCTGAATGGCATGGAAATGGCACATTGGCACTTGCTTTCCCTGGTCTGATCCCCCCATATCTTTTGGGGAGATTTTGAAATATCATTTGTTTTAATAGAGAAGACAGCTGAAAGTCACTGAGTACTGGATTTTGAACTAATCCTGACAGATCTGGTCCCAGGTTCTAAGACCTGTGTAACAAGCAATGAAAATAAAAGGAAGGCTCTAGTTATAGACAGTAACATTTTGAAGGTCTTTACAAAGCAAAATTTGACAAGCTGGGTATATATTAAGTATAAACAAGCTGAGAAAATTTCCTGCAAACTATATAAGGATGGAACCAGAGGGGCTGAGAAGAGACTGTTAATTAGGCCAAACCAGTTGAAAAACAGTTAAACATTGCTTCCTGAGCCCCAAGTGCTGACGGCTTTTTGGGGGGTGTGGCGGGAGGTAATCGTGAACTTGCCAAGGCTCTACCAGTTAACAAGGTGGCCTTTGCAACAATAATATATACGTAGAGGGTCCCCGATTCCCTACTGGCAAGACAATTCTACCTTTGCTCATTTTATTTGTTCACATTAATCTAGACATTGTGTCTTCCCACAGCTGTACTAGGCTCAATTATTTTTGTTTTTATTTTGTCAAGCCTAGTTGGCATTATTTGCTCATATTTTATGACAGACACAGACCTGTCTCTTCTCTTTGCTGCTCTTTTATTTTCTATACAGCTTATATTTATGAAGGACCAGGCTGGTGAGTGAAAGTCTCATAAAAGTCATCATTAGTCTGTGCATTTCTCTTGTATCCCTCTCTTCTTTCATTCAGTGTCTCATTCTGAGTAGACTTGTCTTTCAACTCTTCTGCTCTTTAATATTGCTCATATTTTATGAAGCGCACAGATGTGTGATAACAACTCATCAAAGTCATCATTATTCAAGACACTGTCTACCTGTTCTCCTCATTCATTTCGCTCTTCATCAGTCATAAATAATGTGCAGACTTGTCTTTGAACTCCCCTACTTTTTTATTCCTCATATATTACGATCCACACCAACTCACAGCATATGATAAAGCCCCATAAAAACGTATTATTCTACATTGATCAGCACGGAACTCTCTTTGTAATGCACTACATTTTAAATGTCCTAAGATTCCCTGTATCTTGCTGTATTTGCTCCCATTATTTACACACTCCACGCTGTCCATTTTTCACAAGAATAACTCCTAGCTCCTTTTATTTCTGGATCACTAGTACTTACTACAATCTTTGACCAGCATCAGTCATCCTGCGCCCGTGTAAATTGTCTAAATTTCAGTATAGTATTAAACTATTCTTTTGAAATTTGCACTAATCTTGATTGGCACTGCATGTAGAAACCTGGGGGGAAATTCTTCTCAGGCAAACGGTCCATTTCAAGAAGAAAGCTCGAGTCCACTTGTTCCCCCAGGCTACTCCAGCCTCAGATGGCCTTCCAAGAACCTTCAGACATATTCTTGGCAACTATGGTGTATTGTGCTCAACTGCCATTTTGTGAACTCCCGGCCTCTGAACTCAATTTTCTTCAAAATTGTGGATGGTAGCTTTGCATTTACTTTATTTTCCCTGATTC